CCCTAGACGCTAAACCCTCAACCCTGCACACCAAACTTGATATTCGGGTACCCTGAACCTCGAAGTGGGCTGCAGCCTTTGTATAATTCCCTCCCTGATAATCCTCCCTCAAAGGGGCTCTAGACGGGTATGGAAGGGAATGGCAAAGCAAATGGAAACAAATGTCTGGTCCTAGTTATGGTTGTAGGGCTCAAAGCTACTAAGCTCCCATCGCACCCGTAATGACAAACGGAACCACAAACAATACTTGCATTATTAGTGAATGGAGGATTGTATTTGGGGACAGGGATCAATAGGGGCGGCTTTCCTAGCAACCCTAAACCTTGAATCATAAGTCATAAGCCCCAAATCCTACGTTTAGCTCCCTGCGCCTCATCCTCATCAGGGAAAATGTGCCTACAGACCGTCACGACGACACGGCTTGCCAGGTACATGAGGACGCCCCCCTAGGGTAGGTTTGGCGTCCCTATAATTTTTTGTGGATTACAACTTAGGGTAAACATACAAAGAATCAGTGCCAACCTAGCCCTGCAACGAGGACAAGTAGGAAGGAGAAGAGAAGTCTCTTGAGGCCCGTGTCGCAAATCTTGCGCAGCCTGTAGGCAAGCTGTAACTGCACCAACACCATATTCGGTAGCACGACGAAACAATCCCTGACGATAAGGATCAGAACACCCAGAGTGTAGGCAGAAAACCATCCATACTCTCTTGCACGGCTGGCCACGATGTCAAGGTGTGAAAACATGACTGGGCTCATGACCTGCACCATGTGCCAGTAGGAGAAGGCATCTTGCATCAACTGCTGAACCAACATTGCTCGCACCTTCCCACGCACATGGTCCTCGAAGCTTTCCAGCGACCCGAACCAAGCCATGATACAGCGACAAATGATCTGACGGTCGCAAGCAATCGGCTCACCGGTCTGCGATACATGGTTCAATGCACAGCAGCCGCATGAAGAACGCTCAACCGTGAAGTTGCAAATCTGCTGATGGATCTCGTCTGTGCTCTGGCAATGTACCTATACCGGATGACTAGTCGTCTGACACCTGAAATCGCAACAGCGTTGACAGCTTTTCAAGAAATCAAGTCAAACAAAACCCACGATGAACCAGGAACCAGGTACGATCATTGCATATCCAAGTATGGCGAGGCTTGGGAAGCACAATGCCACCAGGAACAGGAGGCCCCAAGGCATGTATTCAAGGTCAGAAGGTGTGAAGACAAAAAGCGCCATGAGAAGGCTGACACCTCTGGATTAAATTTAGGGCCCAGCTGCACGGGACGGCCTGGCCGCAACCGCAAGCCTAAACCCGAAACCGGTAATTAAGTGAGCAGCCCTAGCCCGATCCGCGCGAGAAAATCTGGTAAAACGCGCAAAACCAGACTTTAAGAGGTGGGCCTTATAGTGTTTCGGCCTTATGGTTTTACCACGTCTTCGCCCCGATATCCGTTTTACCAAAGTTTCACGCGTGTCGGCATCATCCTGGGCATCCGAATGCACCTAAACCCGCGAGCACGCACTGGCGCCGTAACCGTCTTTTTGGGTGTCAGAAATTAAGGTGATTTCTTGAGGCGTGTTCGAGGCCTCAAAATACTTAGGGATTTGAAGGGATGCTAGATGCGCTTGTGTGCGGTATCAACACAACAAAGGGGGAGGGGCTGGGACAGCCCGATGATGCTCATGATGCCGGCTCCTTGCGGCTGCTGGGGCCCAAAACGTGCTGTAAACCCTAGCAAAAAGTGCGGAATACACGCGCAAACTACGTGCAGTCAGCACTATATTTGTTGCTCTAAGCACCAGCAGCCAGCACCAAAAGCCTACTTTGGCGGCACTTGCGCTGCATGATAAGTATGTCAGCGGGCCTGCATGCATCACCCAGGCCAAACCCTATAAAATGCGCATGTTGTGTGGTTTCCTTCAATTTTGGGAATACAGGGGCTCTCAGGCTTGAGGCTGGATGGGCGGAGTGACAGGGCGCGAAGTGGGCACACTTGCTGCCAAACCCGAAATTATCTAGGCCCCTTCCACGCGGTTTAAGGTGAAGGGTTTAGGGTATTCAGAACCCTATACCTTGTCCTTTTGTTGAGGTACCTAGCGGTTTAGGGTTAAGAGTTTGGGGTCTATTTCTGTATATAGAACATACTAAACATAAAGTTTGGTGCCCAACAAAAGGAATAAGGCATAGGAACCTCAACACTAAACCCTAGACCGTGCACAGTAGGCAAAACCTTGCATTCAGCTCAACAACCGAGAAACCTAAATGTCCCGTCAAGAACCTGGGTTGCTGTCAAGGAACTTCAAAAAAAGTTGCTATAATCAGGAACCTTATTACTTACAATATATCCATATTCTGGTAATTTAAAGCCCTAAGTCCTATAAACACCAGTTAAGTTCTGTAATAAAAGCCCAGGAACACAGGGCCCACAGAAACCGGGTAGACTACCAGGTCTGCTTTGCGACCAGATTGGCTGTGCAGAAATGCGGCAAGCTCAAAAACGCACCTCAACTGACAACTTGGTAGTTTCCCTAAACAAGGGGACACACCCCAAAACACGATGATCTTCGCTATAGGGACAAATAGGTGCCCCATCTCTTGGGAAACACCCACTTGGGTTTAGGGTTCAGGGTTCTCCAAAAAACACTTCTGCTGACTGAGGGATGCCATCTTGGGTTCTATAGGAAAAAATGGAAAGGAGACTCCAAAACGCTAGAATCTCGATTAAAGGGACTCCCAAAAGGGTACCCCAAATTTTGGGAAAGCCCCAGATAACAGGTAGGAAGCCCAGAATGTTAAAGGTAAAGTCCTGAGAACCAGGCCAAATCAAGCCAGGACACCATAAACGTGATGTGTACGATTTATGGAACAGCACAATCATGCTCTTGGACTGCTTCAAAAACGCACCCATGCTGACTAGTCCTTCAGCTTTGTGCAAGCTGTGCGTTTGGTCTATACACGCCGCATCCAGGAACACCAGCTTAGGACGTTGCCACAGAAGAAGACCTGGGGGTTCCGAACGTTGGGGGTACCTTTTGGACTTTTGGGGGTCTCCATCAGAACGATCGTAATATATTGGGGTCTATGTTGGGGCCCCCCTATTTACGGAAACGACCACCTGCGTAGTAGCCGAAGACACCCGCAGGAACGCACCAGGCACTCAAGATGTCAATCCTAAAGCCATACACTTCTGGAAGAATTCCTGGGTTGCCATTTTTTTAAGAGTTTAAGGGTCCACGGTTTCTCCTTTACGGGCCTAAGGTTCAGGGTTTACAGCTTACTGGGGGGACCTACGTGTAAGGCAAACGGAAAGAACAACCAACGACTACGCAGGCCAGCCACCCTAAACAAGAAGTCAAGCTGGCAAACGCCTGTTTTCATGCGGTGTGGGAATAAAGCAAACATGCGCGGCATGACATATGCCAATCCCAGAAAGCAATGGCAACAGCAAGTACGTTGAGCGCATTCAATAAGAAATCGTTCCAAACAAGAAATCAGGGGCTGGCCAGACTGGAATTTCTTAACTCAGCGTCCAAATTGGGCTGAAATTCTTATCGCTCCTCAGTCTTTCTTTCCTCCTCTTGAGCTTATGAAGGTGCTGGAGAAGGGGTGGAGGGGCTGGAGGTTGGCCCCTCCTTCTGCTCCAGCCCCTCCAACCCCTTCCAGCCCCTCAACTATCCTCAAAAAAGTCCAAATGCTACGCGCCGGAGCGCATTTTTAGGATCCTCAACATCGGCGATTTTGAGGATGCTTCGCGCGGGAGCGCGATTCTTTTAAAATCTGGGCGCGTCCAACGCGCCAGCAGGTCAGTCTAGAAGCCTGATTTAAAGGGGAGGGAGCTGATTTTGAGAAGTTATAGCGCTATAAAACGACGAAATATCGAGAATGCTCCGCGCGAGAGCGTGATTTTTGAGCGATTTAGGGCACGTCCAAAATGCTTGCGTGACGGAAGGAGATCCGCGGGGGTTGCTCGGCGACACCACATCTAACAACTGGAACCCCACAATGAATGTGAGGAAAAAAGTTCCTTGAAAGCAGCCCAGATTCCGGCGGTGTATAGGATGGCAGCCACGCTAGCGAAGAGCACGCCCAGTAGAAATGCCGGCAATGCGTTGTTCAAATACAGAACCTGTGGTTTGGGTTTTAGGGTGAGCCAACAGCCTTAAAATAACCTGCTGCTTTGATGTCGCCATTGCCCGCAACCCACCATCAGAAACCCTGAGGTACCCTCATAGAAAAAACACACACATATCTAAGGCTCAAAGTCTAGGCTCCATGCCAGGATTCTTGGTTCGGAAAGAGCCCGAAGCCCGAAAAACCGAAACTCAGGTAAGTTGGGGTTCGCAATCTGTTCGGCACACGGATAGTAACTACGCTTGGAGTAGCTTTCTGGAACCATCGTAGTCTGGGTTGCTGTTTGCTGTTAAGGAACTTGAATTGAAGTAATTACAAGGAAATCCTATTGTTTAGGGTTAGGGTCCGGGGTTTAGGCTTAACACAATAAAGAAACTCCATCTTTCACCATATACCGTATACTCATATTATGGTAGCTTGATTTATAGGTTCCTTAACAGCAACCCAAAAGTTCGAACACGTCGCGGGCCACTCTTGAAAATTCATTTCTTTTGAGCAGACCTCGCGGTCAACAAAACATTTCACCACACCACTACTAAGTCAGCGCCCAGGCAACCTTGTAACCCAAACAGGTATTCTTCGCTCAACGGGAGAATGTGCACACCTGCTCGTCTCGTAGTTCAATGCCCTATTATACTATATTATATTAAAGTAAATTCTAGTATGTTATATGATAGTTTATTATAATACACTATATTATACTAGATTATAAAGTATATGTATTGTGCAGGGGAGCGGGCCTGCACACTAGCTTGTGTTTGCACGCGATCCGCACAGTACAAAGGAAGGTGTGAGCTAGTAGCATGTGTTCTTTCTGGATGCACGCGTGTTCCGAACAGGCAAATGTTCCAAACATTGCGTAGAAAATAGTGCGAAGGTAACACACTCAGCTTACTCTTAATTAACATAATGTGCAAACTCTTCAAACTGTGCGCAGGAGGAGCATTACCATCTGAGATGCGCATCTTTCTTAAATGCCGTGACCAGAGTATTCAGAGCACTCCCTACTGCATGAACAACTAAAGTCCTGGAGCCGTGAACCGTGAACGCTGTTCCGTACACATTAAAGCTTCCAAACCCTAGACGCCACCACCTGTTCCACAAATCCTACGAATTCCTCAACCCTAAAGCGACGCTGGAGTCATGGAGCGCATGCATACTTCATGTATGGTGGCGTCTGCCAGCTGTGAGACCAAAACCTGGGCCAACACAAGCTACTTGCAGGTGGATTTAGCGCTTGGGGCTCGGTAACCACTGGAGCTTCAGTAAGGCACTTGGTAAGCTTATATGACTGGGGTTGTCCGTGACGCGTATGTGGAGTCACTGGTACGACTGCAGCTGTATGTAATGTACTGGGATTCTCGTTAGAACCCATCAAAAATATAGCAACAATACCAACTATCTAATACTAAGTAACCCTAAACCCTTAACCCAATCCCTAAACCCAAAACCCTTAACCCAATCCATGTCCCGTTCCACCCGACAACACAAGCCGTCACAGCCGTGCTTGAAGGCTTACAACCTATAGGATTGTTTGGACTTCGTACCTAATTCCCTGAGGGTCCAAGGACCCAAATAATAGGGTCCCTTTAAAGGGGTTCTAGGGGGATATATAGGTTTGTATAGGGTTACCCTAAGGGTCCAAGGACCTACATAACAGGGCTTCAGGGCCCAAATACCACTTATATTATAGTATATCCCTACTTTTTAGGTCCTTGGACCCTTAGGGTAATTCAACATTGGTGAGGTCGTAGTTCCATTTACAGCTAGGGTAGGTAACAAGATCTGCACGCGTACATATGTGTCAAAAAGCAAGAACTGCTGAGCGCCTCCCCCCCCTCGTGTGCCTACCTTTCTTGGATCTGTTGTAGTCTGCCACGTGCTCATGCCCACAGTTTGTCGTGGGCTGGAAAACTGAACTTTTGGCGTGAACTATTCCCGTAAAACACTACAAGCATAACCTACAAAAACCCCGGACTCGCCGTTTGAACCAAAGCGGAACACAAAACAACAAAGCTAATAGAACAAAACACGACTTCTCACGAAAGCATAAAACTCGGAGAAAAAACACACACACACACAAAAACAAACCCACAACCTGCGCCACGGCCACCGCCACCCCCAGCAGCAGCAGCGGCGGCGGTGGCGGCGTCTACGGCCACGGCGACAACAACGACAACGACACCACAACGAAAGACACATCCAACATAACAAACGAAATGGGGACACCCTGGTGCGTGCTGCCTCAACCAGAGCAGCACTCCAATAGTAGCCATATGTTTTATGCAACATGTAAACGCAGTGGTTTGTTTATCCGGAGAGAGAAGTTAGTTTAGACATATGCACGGAATTCAGTGTCAATATAGCATTCAAAGTCTTTGAACGATCTACGCTTCTTAAGTTCGTTTAATCGTAATGATATCTGGTCGAAAAGCGTTGCTTCAATTCAGGGCATCCCACAATTACACTAAATGCATCAATGAATCGAGATTGTGTACAACTAGCTGAATCCTACTGGCCCTTACTTTGAGTAGTCTATCTGTTGCCGCTGTTGAGATGAACAAAGGGGTTCAGACAGCTTGCAGGACCGAATTACGGGCCAGCCCTAGTACTACTTCAACTAGCCATGTCCCACTACACATCTCAGGCATTCAAAATTGCAATGCGAGGTGCAATTTGAGGGTGTAGGGTTTAGGGATTAGGGGTGCGCAGAAAAGTTACCCTTCAATTCAGGAGTCTCCCCGTAGTAAGCTGTATTTACAACACCTGATCTCTCAATATACTCTCAAGAAATGCAGATGGCCCTTGCTCATGATAGGTTTTCACTATTCGAGATTCGAGGTAAACTGAATTGTACAAATCGAGGGCCGGTTCTACTGTGTAAGGTATGTAAACATGTAACCAAGAGTTGGATTAGGGAAGATCCGCTTCATTCTTCTGATCTCAACCCGGCTAATCTCATTATTCGAGATCGTTTCTTAAACCCTGGGACCTAAACTGTCATCTAGTTCTTTGTCTTCTCTAGGCCTGAGGCTATCATGGAAACAGGCCGAAGGATTTGAACAATGGTGGTTTAGGGTTTAGGGATGTCGGGCTTGGGGATTTCGCTATGGAGGGTTTAGGGTTGACAGACGTTTACATCAGCCAGGAGATGAAACTAGCTAAGGAAAGATGTTTTCATTGGGCAGATATGCAACAAAGAAAAACAACATTAACTTTGAATTCAGGGCTTCCTCCCTTACCTTCAACGCATATACTGAGTTCATATACGGAGCCGAAAGAAGATTAGCCCGTGCCTGTACTAATCGAACTGTTTAACCATTGAAATATGCAGAAACAGCAGTTTGATCAATGACATGACCGCCAGTTCTGTTATCTCAATTGTTTGGCTCCCCCGGCCTATTTGCCTCATTTAGATAGTGATCTGAATTATTATGAACAGGGTGCCAATTTGAGAGGAGAATGGTTCTTTGACGTAATACTGAGGGATATTGTACTTTACTGTATGCTATCTGGCTCCTGTGTTTAACCAAATGGTACAGTACTCGGTTTGAAGAGGCTCTATGTATAGAAGTGCTGAAGAAAACTTAAGCATCAACGCTTTTGGGAAGAAGGAAAAGAGGAAATTGGGCGGCTGGCAAATCAACTTATAAGCGCCATAAACCCTGAAGCCTGAACCGAAAGATTTGCACCTACACATCCCTTCCTCATCTACCAAGGTAGGCACCTTTGACAACCTTGCCGTGCACAATCCATGAACTGGTTGAAACATCCTCGCATTGTTCAGAAAACACTAGAACCTTGCATTTTCAAAGGACTGCCAATGTCCCTCGGTTTTCATAAGAACAAGAGGCCTGCTTCGGCATTCCTAACCATCCGTTTAGTATCCATAAGGCGTGAAATACTTTCATATTCCTCGCCAGCATTGTCGCATCAACAAGAAACATGAGCTTTCCGTATAATTTTACAACGACTAGAGAGAATTAGCGCTGCTCCCTGTTAAACAAGGGAGCTCGCTGTTACCGAGCTAAGAACTCATGAAAGAGTCCATCTTCCTCATTATCAGTTAATCAAGATTTCTGGAACCCTCATCCTTTCTTCCGAACACTAAAGAAGCAACAAACTTCCTTGCATGGTTCTCAACCATAAGACATATCAGAGCCCCTTGCACATATTCTCATGCGTTACAGGCAAGGACATTTTTGTTTAGGGCTTAGGCTTTGCTTTAGGGTTTGGGGTTCACAAGCCCTCTGAACTGGGGCCCGCAAACTCATCCATCTGGGAAGTGACCACCGCAGAGCTGTAGGGCTCGCCGATCCCTCCTGACCCACATGGCCACAGAGGTCAGGCTTTAAGGCAGAAGGGGGGGGCTTCTTTGGGGCCCTAGCAGGAGACTGTTTGCGGCTTTCAAGGTAGGCTTGAAAATTTAGGGTTTAGGATTTAGGGACCTGAGCTGAAGCTGGTGTAGCTCTCCGGGGTTGATGGTAAACTTTAAGGGTCGAAGGACCTTAATAATAGGGGATTAGGGCCCAAATACTCTTATTATTAAAGTATTTGGGCCCCAAAACCCTATTATTTGGGTCCTTGGGCCCTTAAATACAGAATTACTTTCGCAATCCGCCCCTTGTGTTGCTTTGCCGCACCTCCCACACAGGAACCCGGCCGTCCAATCA